TTTCAAAACGTGCTGTTTCAAGAGTTTGCTATAGAGTAATACTATTGTGAACTACTTTGTTCTCATAAATTCTTAGTTTTCGACACTTGTCCTGTAAATGAGTCGTTAGACATGATACTATTATCCTCACGTTCAAAAATGACCAACACCTAACGGATTCGGAGGTTGTTTTCATATCGAAGGTACACTAACATGGAAAATAAATCAGGAAATACAGTATTAAAGCTCTATAATATACATCACAATAAAGAACTTGACTTAGAATTAACACAGATTTTATTATAATATTTGAATTAGTTGACTTATGTCATTATTATAATTTCCCAATACCCAAATACCAAATCCCCGAGCGGGCGGCGGGCGGTTGGGTCTGCGGCGGCGGCGGCGGGCGGGCGGGCGGCGGCGGGCGCGTTTGCGACCGAAAGTGGCCCGCCGATTCGCCACAGGCAAAAACGGGCAGGTGCGCGCACGTAAGTCGCTCTCCCTTAACACGCGCGTGCGTGCGCGTGTTGGCGGACGGGGCGCGTGGCCCACGAGGCGGCGAAGCGCGACCACCGGCGACGCAAGCGCAGAGTAGGGATGCGACAGCGATGTCGATGTTTTCAAAACATCGATGTATCTATAAAAAAAATCGATGTTTTAAACATCGATGTATTGAAGCCGATGTTTCAAAAAAGAACATCCATGTTTTATGCTCGATGTTTTTACGTTTACGATGTTCATTTACTTAATTGAGGAGACTTATTCCTCAGCCGAGAAGATCATGATGCCCTGATATTTCCTTCGTATTTCCTCGCATTTCACACATGAAGAGGCGTTTTTTTAAACTTTGTTTTCGGTTAAATTTTGTTGCGCAAGAATCTAATGTTAGTAGTAACTAAACTTACTTTAAAACATTAATGATCCAAAACATCCATGATTTGATCGATGTATTCTTAACATCAATGTTTTAATTTTGAGCATCGATGTTTTGTTGTCGATGTCGCATCCCTAGCAGAGAGAAACGGAGTGGAGGGTTGAAACGAAATTTCGATTAGTTCCGCAATGCATCACCGGGAGTGTTGAGTTCGGTTACTGCGAATCTTGTGGCGATAACATACGAATATAGGTGACTCCACAATACCATAGCAAGCCGTAATGAGAGAACAATAAAATCCAAAAACTTCAGCAATGATTTCATTGATGGACCAATCCCTCATGATGAGTTACTAATAAGTTATTAAAAAGGTTACTAATAATATATTGCAAGAAAGCAGCTAATTCTATTACCTCTCCTAATTCGGATTCGTGATTATTTAGGATCCGCCACCCTTTTAATTTGTTACTGAGGAATACAAAATGTCGTAGCTATTTCCCAAATGTTGAATGCATTGTTTTGATAAGAAATATAAACTTCCGTCATAACATTTCAATCATAAGTTATGTCTTCTCGTTTTTGTGCAAGTACTTTGATACACAACACGATGGCTGTACCGTAGTTTATAACATCACGTGACATCAGACATTCGGCCGCTGAGCTATTAAAATATTTGTAATTACCAAACCTAACTCCCCTTCCATTATAATTTTCTGGATTTAAAAAACAAATGACAATTTATTAATAACTTGCATAAAGAATATAAGTAACTCATACTATTACATTCTCTCTGTTTTGGAGATTTGTTGTGGTTGTAATGAAAATTAATAAAACAGAAAATTCTTTTGAGTGCTAATGTTTGTACACTGTCCAAAAAGCCAAATATTTAACTTCGCAGCAAACGTGATGGCAAATGCTTCTAGGTCAATGACTCTCGACCAGACCGAACGTATGTCACAAGCGACAAACGCGTTTAATCGTTCAGTATGTCATAACCAACATTGAAAATACAAGTATAAACGGGCATTTTGTTGGAGTCATCAGTCATCAAAATCGAAACTCGTGGCACATGCGCACGTGCTGTGTTCTTGTGGCATCACAGATGATTTTTCTCCATTTCTGAAATACTGATACGATTATTTATCTTTAAAAATAGTAAAAACTGCACGTGACGCATGGAGAGAATTTTAATCAGCGCGCATTTTCATGAGCTCCCAAATCCCTATCCCTGTCATTTACACATAGTTGATTTACAAACAAACTTACGAATAAACGTACCAACACGCGTAGAGGGAGAAAATTTCACACTCTTAATGTAGAAGGGCCACAACTCCAAAATCACCCATTTCGGAGGAGAGCCTTTAGAAGTTTACTCGAGGGCATTTAAAAACAGGCATTGGAATTATAATTGAATTGCTATTACTTGGCTATTTATGAAACTAAAGAAATGGCATTGTTGCATATCACGTAATGGAAAACGAAGTAATCTAACAATGCGTGTATCTCAATTTTCAATTTTTCGGCGATACTAGAAATTTTTCGTTCTTACCGAAGACAGGATTATATCACCTGCTGGGGAAATGCATATATTGCTCTCTTCGTCGAGCGACCTCCGTGATCGCCAAAGGCGTTTGCCTCATCACTAAGACGTGTTCGGACGTCGTTTTTCACGTGGCAGGAAGACTAGCTGACAAGCCCAGCCGGCGAATGAAGGTATTTCCACCGGGGCGCCATTCGTCTTGGCGCATTAGAGGCGTGTGAGGAGGGCCGGGAGGGCCGCGATACGATTGTTCCAACGCCGGTAAAACAGTCTCCGACGCGACATCGCGGGCAGCTAAAAGCACTCCGGAGTTGGATCGCGACTACGGCCAAGTAACAGGATTATTTCATGCGGTTTCACAAAACTGAATTAATCACTAAGTGATCCATTTTTACGTATATGCAAGTGCAATGTAAATAACAGACGTGTTGGGCTAAGTGGCGGAATCACGGGGGGACATGGCCATGATCCTTCCCCAACATTATTTTGATGCAATTTTACTCAATTTACTGAAAACAGTTACCACATATTGATGAGAACAAAAGAAATGACCTCATTAAAAGAAAATGACAAGCTAATAATTAACCAAAATACTTCAATAATATGTATGTATGAGGGGGGGGGGTGACTGAGAATGCTCGTTTCCTGCCTGAAATACAATGCAGCCGCCACCAGGAGAATTAATGGCATAAACGTTCCCAAGATTAAAATGAAGTTGATCACGACGAGATTTCATGTCCCCTCCGTGTCACACAATCCACGGCAGCGTGGGCGTGGCTGGCACGGGCGGCTTGCTTCCTCGCCGCCGCGGTAAATCCAACGCATCGCTGGAATGCATCGCCTCATACGAGTGTACGCACGCTCTCCCTCCCTCTCCCTCTTTATCTCCTCGCCGACCAATACAACGGTTCCTCTTGCTCGCGCCGCGCCGCGCCGCGCCGCGCCTGCCCGCAGCCGAAAGGAAAGGTATGCGATGCACCCTGACCAACGCGCGCACGATTCAACGAGCTGCCGTGGCGAGTGCTCACGTCCCCTCATCCCTGCAACATTCGTCTTACCATTCTCTTTCTTTTCAATGCTATCGCCTGTGGGGCGACACTTACACACATACACGTTCGTCCACGAAGCTGCACTCCTTGGGATTTGCGATCAGAGCCAGAGAAGAATATTACTAGCGAACTATAAACTACAAACTACAATTAAAACTAATAGCTACACGCGTTACAATTTATCTTCGTAAGAAATTGCGCTTTAGACGGTCGGAAGGCCCATCCTTCGGAGAAGTTCGAAAACGCGTCGTTCGATTCTGCCTTGCAAAGAGTCGTCCCCTAAGGGGCGTAGCCGCGCAGAAGCTGGGTTCGTTCGCTGCAGCGGCGGCGGCGGCGGCGGCGGCGGCGCCGCGGCGGAGAGAAGCTGAAGCGCGTGGGCCACCGGAAAGAAATGCAGCCGCGGCCGCGCGGAGGGGTGGGAGCAGCGCCCGCTCGCCCGACACCAGTTCCTTGACCCCGCGCCGCCACCGCCGCCGCCGCCTCCTCTTCCTCCACCTCCTCCTCCGCGGGGCCGGTGCGCTTTGTCAGAACCTGCCTCCCCCCCCCCTGCCCGTGCCCCTGCCGCCACCCCGCCTGGCTGGCCCCGCTGGCTCCACTCCGCTCCGCTCCGCTCGGCTCGGCTCGCCTCGGCGCTGCGCGCAGGGCCGCTATGCGACGGCGAGCGGCGACGACACCGCGCGAGGGAGATCGAGCGAGCCGGCGCGCGGAGCAAGGTCGGATAACAGCCGCCGGAGAAAAGGCGAGGGCGCGAGTCGAGGAGGCGGAACGCGAGGCAGACGCGGACTTGAAAGTATCAGAGAGACACGATGTATGTTCCCTTCGATAATGTTGACACTCATTTCTGCCAAACCGTATTGGGGCGTGGTGAGTGAGTAACAAATTTATGTTCCGCATTCATTTCAAGAAACGCTGGCTGACTAGCGCTGGGGATGTAGTACTCCCCTTGAGTTTCTCTTTCCGCCAACCGAAGAATGTTTACACGAAAACAATTTCAGTTGCTAGAATTAAAGAAAATGCGCTTTAAAACTTGTATTTAAATACAAGTACTATAAACAAGAATCTGTTTGATTGAAAGTCTAACTACTGCCTGTTTCATTGAATGTGTATTAACAATAAATAAAGCGGCCTCTTCGAAATTAGCGGTCCGTTCACGTTCGACGTGGCCTCTATTTAAACTTTCTCAATCAGAAAATTTATTATAACATTAATTTGTGCTTTTCGACATGCTGTGTATACATTACAATAATATTATTTTAGTGACGATATCGGAATAAACTGAATCCAACCTGGAACTACACTGACTAAACTGATGCTTCCGAGGTGTCATCAACTAGCACTGTAGCGCATCTGGCGGGCAAAACAATGCATTTCGCTGCCGGTTCGAATGGCCAAGTTCGTTGAGGCAGAAGTGCCGTAACGATCTCGGACGGAAGGATCGCGGGTTCTAGTCCCGCCTCGAGCATGGTTGTTTTGTGTTCGTCCTTTCACACCCCCCCATCATCACCATATCATGTCATCTTCATATGTACCATACCGTTAAATGCAATAGTGGTAACTAATGACCTGGTTGATGTTGACGCGACCTTAAACAACAAAAAATATGCATTTCGCTGAGCGATGCAGGCTCTGATGGTCTAGCGTTTCAGAACCTGCCAAAATAATCGACCGCCGCACTTGTCTCAATCGAAAATAGTTGGTAGGGAGGGCACATGAGATACGGAGGCGTGAGAAAAAAAGAGATAGATAGATAGATAGAGATAGAGAGAGAGATAGAGATAGATAGATAGATAGATAGAGAGAGAGAGAGAGAGAGAGAGAGAGAGAGAGAGAGAGAAAGAAGAAAAAAACACTGTCTGCTTCCAACAAAAACTCTCCCAGTGTTCGTGATAGCGCCCAAGCAGGAGTCTTTTATTCAAGTGGTTTTCACATACCTCTGAGGATGATTGTATAGACGACGATCGAGTTCTTGGCTACCCGGGTGACGCCGCGTCGTTGGCTGAGAGGCCGACGTTTCGCCTGTCATTTCGTAGGCTTCCTCAGGGTAGTGACTGGCTCGTCACTATCCTGAGGGTGACTCGTCACTACCCTGAAGAAGCCTGCGATATGACAGGCGACACGTCGGCCTCTCAGCCAACGACGCGGCGTCACCAGGACAGCCAAGAACTCATGGACTCGAGCCGCGGAAGCTTACGTGTACATAGATGACTATCGACACAAGCGTCAGCCAGCGAAATGTCACACTCTACGAATTTTTTTTTTTTACAATATTCTTTGGTTCATGGACTTTTCCTTTTTATACTGATACCACAGAGTTGCAACATGACATGCGGTAAAGCGAACATTATTAATATATACTATGAGGAGTTTTGGGGACACGAAACACAGTATGTTGGGTGCAAACCTACACGTGCACTTGGGGTGCTATCGCTCACCTTTTCGTCAAAGGGAAGAAAGCATAATGAATCCCCTATGGACGCAACATGGACGGAAATATATTATTTTTGTTGTTATCATTATGAAAATGATTATAATGTTGACATTTTAAACTCTTATAAATGCGTTCATATTGCAAAAGGTTTTGTAGATGTTTCACGCTTTTTTATAACTCCAAAGCACACCTAGAAGAATGAATGAATGAATGCTTTAGTTATACGGGACACGTCAACTCATGTGGTCATTAGTCCCGTAAGTGTAATGCATGTTTTTGCTCGCGAGGTGGCGGTCCTCTTTCCCTCGCTGTATGGCGAGATCCGGCGCCGACCTTTCGTCGGCTGGCGGGGCTTTCCCAAACCAGGTTTCTCCCACCAGCGGGGCACCGCCCCGGCCGGAACAAGCTCTAAGCTACCGACCGGTCTCCCGGCGGCTCTCTGAAGTGCGTGCAGTGAATGTGTAAGGGGAGAGGATAGGACAAGGAGAGGTAGGAAAGATCGCGCGCGGTCCATGGCCCGTTAGGTAGGGTACTTCTCCGACATTCGCCTGGTGTTGATCGCAGAAACCACGGAAAGCTACCGATCAGAGCAGCTAGGACTCTCCTCCAGATAGCGACTGAAAGCGACCTAGCTGACAAGCTAGTGCCGAAAATCCTGCCACCGCCGGAACTCGAACCTAGGACCTCCCGGTCAGAGCGACTGCTGTGACACCAGTTGATGCACTGAGGTATCTCTCCCGGGCCTAGATTGAAGATTTACAAAGTGTTGATCAACCCCTGGTAGTACACGGTTGTCCTATTTACAACAGTACTCGGAAATAGAAAGGGCGACGAAGGGTGAACTAGCCTCTCGATACATATCTTTTTGAAAGTATATGCGAAATGTCACACAACGCATGCATACGCATGTTTCCACAAAACGAATTCTCTGGTAAAATCAGTTTGGATGCGAATGTCCGATTCGATATTCATCTCTATTATGGATGACCCATCACTGACACGCTGTTACATCGCAACGTGGAGTAATGAGAATGGAGGGCTACCCTTCATCTCCTGTTCGTATCTCAGTTTCATACTTTATGCGAAATCTGTCAGTGTAGCGTATGGGTTGAACAACTGGAGACGAAAAGTGAATTTCTTCGTAAAAATGTATTTCCCAGTGTATATTTTTGAGGTACATGTGTAGAACACGAAAACATAATAGCTGTCAGTAAAACATTGCATTTATTGCACAGTCAACAGCAAGGCATAATTTGAATTCAATAAACCACTCGACAACAATTCAATACACCAATTGCGTACAAACTAGATATACTATGCGAATGCTCTCCTATAAACAATTGTCATCATATGTCATTATTGTTAGCTATAAAAGTTCGCTATCTCTACACGGTGAACATCGACGTTATTACACACTTAACTGATATAGTAAGCCGGGAGAAAAGGCCGTTTAACATCAATTTCCTTTTAATTTCACGATTGCCGGCAGGTTTTCAGTTGTTCGACTATGAACTATAGTCCAGAAAAATGTTCATTTCAATGCAGAAGAAAGATGCCTCTTTCCCAGGGTAGACCTGAGGAGACGAATCTGATATTAATAAATACCCAGTTGACTGCCAGACAGTGCGTTTGTGGTCATTCGCTACGATAGTTGTGAGCCATAGATCATCAAAAATATAAAAACATATAATGACCGTTCAGAAGATACAGAACTTGTTTACGGGAAATCGACAATGTTACATTCCTAAAGATTTTCTGAGTTACAATTATCGGATAGTGAATTTCGAGCAATGACTTTCTCCGTATGAATTCCACCAGTTAGTAAAAATGCATTTCTTCGCAACTTTTTAAGCGATAATTCAACTTAATCGCTGAATACAAGAACGCTATGAGACTACATTCACAATAATTTATCTTCGAAACTCGCTCAGAAATCACAACTGCTACGTGAAAATGTTACAAGGATGGAAAAGTGGCTATACGGAGAGATGAAACTGGACGACATTAAAAACGTGTAGTGTTTAATAAGAGAGAGAGAGTGTGAGTGTGTGAGTGTGTATGTGGGTGAGTGTGTGTGTGTGTGTGTGTGCGTTTCCGGGTTAGCGTGTTTGTTCAGATACTGAATGTGTACCATTATACATGAATTAAATATTATCTTATCATACTGCAGATACGCAAGGATCATATGATGTGTGTACAGTACTGTAAATATTATAAACAAAATTTTATTTTGTTTTTTAACTCCTTTTTTAAACAGTATTAATTGCGAAAACGGAAACGAGTCTTGCGTGGAACATAGAAACATTGTACTGCTTTATAAATAAACACAACTAATTTGTTTTTAAATTTTAATCTTTGTAAATCCGAAAATATATTTATTGCAAATCACAAATTATAGTTCAGAGAATTTATTTTTCTAAACAGTGTAGCGGCGTTATGTAGCACATTAACAATCAAATGGAGTGACACATAATACTCAGTTGAAGTGTCATCTCCTTCGCACAATTTATGTGGCAATTAAATCGTTACACGTAGTGCAAATGTACTAAAGTTGTTAATTGGATTGTTGGTGAAGTAGATACCTTTTTTTATTTTGATAAATAAATAGAGATATTGTCAGTACTAAAGTTGATTTCGAAATCAGCGATTCGACTATTTTTTTCTAATGTAGGTTTCTAATCATTCCGCGATTTCCCTTCATTGTTGCTTGCGAACCTACTTCTCGTTCCATGGCGCGCTCTTCGCACTGCCAACGTCCGCCGATCGCCAGCACGTGCGCACGCGCGCGCCGGTGCATTTGGCCGCGGCTGTTCTGCTCTGAAAAGAGGCGAAGGCGCCGGGGCCGGGCGCCCTGCTTTAGGAACACACACACACACACACACACACACCGCAAGAAGCAACCATTCTTATTTTTATTTATCTTATTTTCGTATAAAAACAACACTGTATGAGATGTGAACACTATGGAACAGATGAACAACCTGTGCACCTTTCTTGAGCTCCAGAATCCCTATCCCGCCCCTTTACTATACATAGTTAAGTATACATATATATATATATATATATATAT